TCCCTTGCTGCTGCTGCTGCTGATGTCTGTAGCTTTTACAGGCTAGAACAAGAAAAGCAAGCACATGTTTGGAAGATTTAATAGTGAAAATTTATTTGAAAAAAATAAACGTATATTTGTTTAGATCATATTTTTTCACCTGTGACCTCTTCCTGGTAACTCTAAAAAAGTCCTTGATTCGAGTTTGGCTGCTGCCTCCGCCTTCCACTTTTTTTCTTTCCCGCTCCTGCCGCCTGCCTTCCCGGGTCTGACGGAAGTTTTCCATTCGACGATGAATACGTTCCACACTTCAAACATGGAAACAATTTGAAATGAGACCAAAATTAAAAAGCTGGATGGTGCAAGAAATGCAGGCGTAAAACACACATACCTGACTCTTTTGGTGTGACACAGGAACCTGACCAAGGCTTCTTCATCGGGCTCGGACCATGTAAGCTCAGAAGTGACAGTCTCTGGCGGTTCCAAAAATAACCTGCGTGCTTCTTTGTACTTCCACAGATGTGGAACAGGATGGGTCTGAAAGGAAATAGTCAGATATTTTGCTAGGTTTATCACAAATTGAAAGACAGTATAAAAAAGAATATATGTGTGTGTATATCAAACCACTTACCTTTCTGTTGACATGCAAAACCACGGTCTCAATATTACGGTGTTTCTGGATCAGCGTTAGAGCTCTTTTAGGACCCAGACCAGTTATTTTGTCACAATAGTCACAGCCCAACAAAATGCACAGGTCAACAAACTGGTGGGAGCAGAAGATCAAAATCAGGGTTAGAATTTGGTTAAGACGTAAGACAACCTGATGATTAGTCAAGTCCCACCTCTTTATGGGTGATTTGGAGTTTTTCCAACACTTTGGGTAAAGAATATTCAACTACATCACTGGAGGAAAAAGGGGAGAGGGTGATTATATAATCCCATTACAATCATTACAAAAACAGACTCAAATATCCCATTAATAGCAAATCAATAACATGTGTTTCTAGCGACACAAATGTCCCCAGAAAGACCGGAGTCACGTTCGCCTTTACCTGTCTTTCTTGGCTTTCAACTGACGAATGAGAGTGCTGGCTCCGAATGGCAGCGTGTCCATGTCCTCTGATGCCGCCGCGTCCACTATCCTGTCCATTACCAGTTTGGCGCACAGAGCCTCAGCGTCCCCTGGAGCCTGAGGCACATCGTCACAGGAGATTTCAGTTAAACTACATTAAAAGTATTACTGGTTGCATACAATCTGAGGTGATCGAGCAACTGAACAGGTATTTTTATTAAAAGATATAGGTAGTCACTGCAAACATGCTGAGCGGCCGTAGGGCAGACTTTACCTGGATGACTGGTACACCAAGGAGCTTGAGGAGATGGAGATAATCCTTGGTCTGGGATGAAACTTAATAACAGCAATAAGAGGGCAGGAGCAAATTGTTACAAAAGCTGACATTTAATATTGTGTGTAACACACTGGGTATCAGGTATATAGTTAATGTAATAGGAGACAGGAGAAAATTCCCTTCATGCTTCTACCCAGTTATACCTAAGTCAGTGCGCAGGTGTGATCTCCAACCTGCTGCTTCAGCCCGCTTCTGAAGCTGCAGATAGAAACGGAGCAGTATATATGGAAGTCAGTGTGAGTCAGTGTCAGCTGCATCACTGCGAGGATGACGTCTCGGCTCCATCAGTTCACTGGTTTATGGGAATAAACCTCGACACGACAAACACATGCCGACTGACCTACATACCAGGAGGATACATGCACTGTAGTATCAGTGTGGGTCCAGCTTCACTTACAACAGCTGCTTTTTCTCCAGGAGGCCTTCCATCAAACACAAAGACAGGTTTTATGTCATGCTCCAGGAAAGTGAGGGTGCGGAAGAAGAGACCAATCAGGGGGCTGAACAACAGGAGCAGAAAATAAAAAAAAAACAGAAGATCGATCAAATCATAAGGAAATGTTTTTTTTTTTTTAATGAGAAGATATTTTTTTGGATATGTAGTACAGCTAAAAGAAGAGTGGGTTGCAGCAAACTTACTTCAGACCTGGTGTTGCTGTACGGAACTGGTTCACAACAATGGATGTATCGAGAGCGATGACTTTTCCTGTTGATTTAGAAACAACATGAGTAAACAAAACAGTTTGCCCTAAAGCCCTCACACTATATACACTTATACTGAAACTTCATGTACTGCTAAGTGTACACGTTCAAGAACACAACCCTGTTCATCCATGATGTAGCGAATGGCTCGTTTTTCAACTAGGTTGCATGAGTGGGTTAAAAAAAAGTATACAGTGCCCCCTGTAGGGGGAGCAAGGAATGTTGAGAATATAACCAACTATATCCAATTAACAATATTAGGAACCTAGGACAAACTGATTTAACAAGGTATTTACATGTTGTACGTAGCAATTGCCCAAAGTTAAATGTGTAAATTAAATTTACCTTAAAAGTATATAGTACTGTTTATTGTATACCGCGAAGGTATTATGTGTTTTGTTTTTTTCTAATTGACATCGGTATCCAGTGGTTTAACATGATCGTAGCTGCAGCTCCAGCTAAAGGAAAGGCTTAGACGTGTTACCTGTGTAGTCACTGATATCTCTGTGAGAAATAGCTTCAGGAGCCTCCTTACGGATCAGGTCTGACAGTTTGGTGATGCCCATCTCACCGTTTGATAGTTTCGTCTTCAGGTTAGAAAGAGAGAAACCGCACGATTGTACTTAGCCAAAACTACATATTTTCTATGGCATGTATGTTAACACAAGAGCAACTTCCTGTTTCGCTCTCTAAAAGGACAATAGGGGTCACTATCGTACAAAAATAGCAAATGTAAAAACCAGTGTTTACGTTTCATGCTTGTACAGTAATATTAAACAATACAATTTAAATGTGTCAAAATATAGAGGGTAGTGTTATTAACTAAACCTGGCCAATCAGGGACTTCATTTGCAACTGTTGTTGTGTTCGTCGTCTATGGCAACGGTTCTCTTAGAGGGGCGGTGGGCGTTGAAAAGGAAAATAAATGTCTATATTTTTTCTATTTTTTAATTCAGTGGAGAAATTGTACAATTCACGAATGAAATGCGCTGCAGAAAAAAAGTTAGGGTCACTGGTCAATCGTATGTCCTTCCTTTAGACTTTATATACACACTGCATACCTTTCCACAAAGCGTATGAGGACACCTAGTGGAGGGAAAGTATACATTTCGTTTTCATCACTGACATCCATTATTTATTACAGAAAATTCCAATGTATCTATTTTTCAATTACAACAAAGTGATTTAAGAAACATCTTGTAATGAACACAGAAAGAGCAGTCACTGCAGGACCATTTTAATGTCTCTACAGTGTTTTATAAATAATATCAATGATAACAAAATGAAATATCAAAAATAAATAAATTAACATACTGTGCATAATTACAGATGTAAATATCATTGTACTATGACAAAACCACACAGTGCATGCTACTTCACAACCAAAAAAAAAAAAAAAGGCCGTATAAACAACATTCAGATACATTAACTACTCCAGTGGAATATCCCCAGGTGTCTTATATCACGTTTAATGGGTACATAATGGGACACAAGGGTGAATTAAAACAACAAGCAGCCTGTTCAAGTACTGTACACAAATGCTACGGATACACTTTGTTCAAAGGAGAAAACTATGGCATTGACACTGACCAAAGTAACAAAGGTCTAAGCATTGGTCCTATGTTTTCATCTCTTGTTTTGAGTTTTAAAAAAGTTAAAAGTCTCTTTTCGCTTCACCACTTTTTTCCACCTGCTGATAACAAAATATAGTACCTGAAAAGTTGCTTTAACCAAAACGAACAATCAATGTACTCATGTATCACCTGCTGTTTATCAGGAGTAAAAGTGCAGTTGTTAGCATTTGACTGGCTAGTGAATTGGCACATATCAGAACGATTAGGTGCTTTCATTTTCTTTACTATTAAAAATATATTCCATACAATATTCCTTAACAACCAGTTATTGTTATTATTATTACATGTATTGAACTCATTGATAGTAAATGTGTCATGTTGCTTGGACTTGATCGTTCTTTTATCACAGGATTAATTGACGTGTGCAGTGAGCTATTGATTCTGAAGGAACTAAATGCATCAGAATATTCAATGTCATATATTTTTAATCACATTGATACCAATTGAGATCTTTTGTCTCGATCTCAAAGTAAAAGAAGCAAGAACTGGTCTCTCGCTGTATTTAATGCCTTGCTGGATTAGTTAGATTGTAGTTTCTATTCCAGGTTTAAGTAACAAGAGAAAAACAATAACTTAAACCAAATTATTCTTTGAGATACATGTGACTAAAGAGGTGAAAGGGGAGGAAATGTTGTAATAGTTTAGTGAGTAATTTAAATCATATTCCTCCTTTACATCTGTTTGTAGTAGTCGGATCTTAAATAAAATTAAGTAAATATCCGTATGTGAATCTTTAATGTTGAGTCAGCTGTGTGGATATTCTTTTAGTTACGTGTACAACATGTAAATAAACAGCAATAAACAGTTGGGAACAATCACTCTAGTTTTACCATAAAGTTCAGCCTGATGTGGAAGAGAATTTGGTACAGAAACATAGAAAACTGTGGTTTGAAAATATTGTTGATGCATCTTAATAATGGTTGCCTTTTAATCTTGATAGCACCCCAGATATGACTGGCTTACAGTTATTCAATTTTTTTTTTCACCTCAGCGACGGAACCACATCCATGTGTTCAGGAGCCAAAAAGCCACAGTGGCTGAGTAGAGGATCACCTCTCGCTTTGTACGTTCTTTGTTTTCTTCTTCCAGCAGCTGCAGACGTCTGTTCAGCTTCACTATCTGGATAAACACAACGATCACACGACGGTGTGATGTAACAGTGGTTTTGCTGTGACACGGTGTGAATTATATTATTGTAAACAGGTTTTAACGTTAGTGTATAAAAAGCAGTCACAGCAGTACAATCCCCAGACTAAAGACTTTACCTGCCGTCGTAGTGTGGAGGCATCAATCAAACCAGACTCATCGGGGTTTACGTCCAGAGACAGGTCCAGGTTTGACCTTTGGAAGTAGACATATCACACTTGAGTTAGAATTAACACAGCAAACTTCCTGGCTCCATCCATAAATTTATCTCTTGTTCTGTTTGTCTCTAGACAATAATCTTTAAACATGACAGCCTACAATTGTCCTTTGATGTTTGGCGAAAAGGTGACAAGGAACAGAGACCTGCTGTGGTTGTCATCCAGGACCTCGAGGACCTGCTGGTACGCTCGCCGTGTCGTTGACTGGACATAAGCCATGAAGCCCGTGGTTGTGAACATGTTGCCATTTGCGTCTTCAGGAGAACAGAGAGGGGGACAGACACGGACGGGGTGTGCAGAAGGGGACGGGGTTACACTGGCAGAGAGGCGAGTGCGATGAAAGAAGAGGATATTAGATCATTGTTAAAGTCGAGAAAACGAGAAGGGAGGAGATGTGGTTTAAACGTGCGTTTACCTTGCATCACTCTTGTTCCTGTCGGAGGTGTGGCGTCCGGATGCGTTCTCGCTGGCGCCGCGTCCTCTCTGAGAGCCGGCGTGTAAACGGACCTTGTGTTAAAAGGAAATCAAGAGAAAGTCATTTGTGTGATGAAATACAGTTTTATCAATGAGAAATGAAAGCAGCATCGTGCATGAACAAACCTACCGCGTGGCTGCGGCCGCTTTGTGAGGAGCCGCTCGGCTCAGTCTCCAGTGAGTCCAGCGGCTGTTCTGTGAGAGTGAGGACTCTTGGTGGGGCCTTCATGTTTAGAAGATCAACCGGCGGAACGGACTGGATTAGATCCAAGTCTCTGGGATGAGCGAAACTGAGGTCCCCATCTTCCCCTGTGGACACAGAATATTGTGGAGCAAGGATTTCCACTCTTTGTTTGAGTTCAACATGGAGGACTAAATACTAAATATTTTTCTCTCTCTTCCTAAATTTTTTAGGAAACCAGGTTTCTTGCTGACCATCAGCCTTCATATAATGTATGTTCCATGTATAAATATATGTCTGAAAGTCAAGCTATGTACAAAGCATAGCCTACATGTCTGTCTTATAACCTGCAGAGATATATACAGGCACAATTTGCTATCAACTTTATATATACAGTAAGTTTCTTTAAAATAAATGCTAACTGCCAGTTAGTTTTCTCTCTTTTTTTTTTGTTCTTACCTGCAACAACAATCCTCTCAGGAACCTGCATGATAGTTGTGTGAGAACCAAGCAGGTCGTCCTGAAGATGTAGGGACCCTGTTTGGTTCTCAGGGCCCACCTTGAGCGTGTCGGGGATACGCATGCGTTGGCTGATACCTTCGGTGTATTCCAGCTCAAAATGGATGCGGTTCATCTCAGCTACCTCCGCAGAGGGAGAGCTGAAAGTTGGTCCACTCATCCAGCCTGAAGACACAAGTTTTACAGTAATGTGATGAACGGTGATTAATGTAGGAAGTACTTTTGAGTTCACCGTGAAACAGCAGAAGACCCAAAGCATGCGCGATGCATTCCATGAGCTGAGAATGTCAGCTGATGAAGTTCATTCATGCATGTTTAGGAATGTGGCCACATGTGTCCTCACTGGCTCCTAACGCTGGCGTTAAAATGTATTTTCCTAAAGAGCATTTCATCCTATTTCAGGTGCACTATTGACAATTGGGTTTTAAGGTTTAAAAGGCTATTGTACTGGGCAAATAAACAGAACAATATTTGTAAACTATATATATATATATATATATATATATATAATAAAGGGAAAAGGCTACTGGACCTCTGTTTGTTTTGAGAGCACGTAGCAACATGCTTCTTCTTTGGTAGTTCTTTGGTAGTTTTATAGTAGTTGGCATCCTTTTGTGGTAATACTACCATGGTAAGCTCATCTCTACCTCTATCAATATATATGTATATATACATATATAAGCAATAACTGGAGGACTTTTTAAGTAAATTGTTGATGGTGTCAAAGTCAGCGAGATAATTTGAGAAGATCACTTTGATCAAGAGGCCTTTGATCTTGTGAAGAAACCAGGGCTGATAAATGGAAATTCCAAGGGATACCACCAAGTATCTTCTGCTGAGAGTATTAAAATGAAAATTGACTGGAGGTGGTAGAGGAACAAGGTAGTAAAAGGTAGTAGGGGCAAATGTTTAAGATATACATAATACAGTATAATTAAAGATTTGTCACAATAATTCCAGACTTTGCCTGTGTTTCTTAAAAAAAAAAACCCACTGCACTAAACACAAACACAAGCCATTTCATCTTTACAGCAGTGGAAGTAGGGGAGCTACTGTACATGTTCTTTATTACTTAACTTAATAATATATACATTATATATATTATGTATATATATATATATGCGATACCAAATAAAAGTGACACAAACAGCTAATAAAAGGCTAATGTCAGTGACACACGTAGCAGATGCTCGATACGTAAGCATTAAGTGTTATCATTAGCAGGTGTTATCTAGAGCACGAAATGTTCGCTGCGATGTCTGCGGTGAAACACACTTGTGCTTGTTCGCTTTAGCTGCTATATATGCTTACCGTGTCACACTGTCCTCCTAAAATGTCATGTGTCGTCGTTTCTTCTAGAAATTAGTTAGAACAGCAGCAATTTCAGCAGTGATAGCTTGGCTAAGAGCCGCTCGTGTCTGTACACTGCGGAACACAAACCCTGCGTGTGCGAAGAGGCGGGGCTAGTCACATTGCACTGTGAACTCTCGGAACGGGAATCAGCATAGACAAGCCGTATAATAAAACGAGCGCACACAGAGGCTTGCGTTCGGTTACGCAGTTAGTTGCGAACATTATTTTAAAGTCAAATAACGTTTTGATAAAATCATTAGAAATAAAACCCAGAATATAGGTTTATATACGTTTGAAATATTTCAATTCAATTTTCAATTACACTTTTTTATGAAGATGGGTTATTGCCCATGCACAAATACATAGTTAACCTTTTTTAAAAGGATAGCGCAAGTTGTCCGAGAGCCGTCAATAAATAAATATTGTTTTGTTGGACAAAAAGGACACAACACATCAAAATAAACTCAATTGATTTATGTCCCATTTATGCAAATATATTGAAATATCACATATTTTCTACCTTTAAATGTCTACACTGTTAAGTACATTGTAATAAGAATACTGTTTTAGATGGAGTGTCCTCACCAAGACAACAGCTCCCATAATTCCAGAGTGTATGACAGCACTGCGCATGCGTAGAAGCTCTGGGCCATTATTTTGTCCTCAAGCTTCAAATGAACAACAGGAGAAGCGTTTTCTTGAAATGAATTAAATATTCATACGCGGAAGGATCCTCTTTTTGGCCGACTTGTCTGTCGATTCAAACATACATGGAGTCTTTGCTTCAGTAGCGGGTTGTGTCACTGTGCTGGTTCCGTCCAGCGGTGGACTTGAGGCCGAAACACAGCGCGGGGTGACAGCCCCGTTAAAGGCAGCAGATTTGGGTGTTTATCTGCTCGACTAGCCACCAGGCTCTGGCCTCGTAGACACAGCTACGACAGGAGACAGGAGGGGGGATAACCCCGAGGGAGCGTTTGTAAAGTCCAGGATAGAGAGACAGTGGCTGTCCCTGTCCCGTCCAGTCTGCTGAAGGGATGGCACACCTTCGTGACATGCAGAACCAGGTATTGAGATCCCTTTTTCCCCCCTCTCTCCAGCTGTCACCTCCCTGTATTGTCCAAGATAAGGCGAATCGTCACGACTGTCTGCTTGGTCTTCCAATGGGTTGCTTTAAGGGTGGAGGGTCTGAACCAAAAAAATCTACTAAAACACTGATATTCTGTTGCTACTCACTTCAAATCTGTTCGCTATTTATATCACTTGCAGAGCGTCAGATGATTAATCTTTATGTACAAAAGCAAACGTATTTGCTAATACATTAAGGCTTTATATTTCTTGCCACCATAATTCTAAATAAAACAATGGGTTTATCCAGTGGGTCTAAATAACTACAGAGCCGTTTCGTTTCAGTTATGCACTCAATTGGCTGTGTTACAACTATATTTTCACCTAATGGATTGGAGATGTGTCCACCCATGCTGTCTGGGCTGTTTACCCATTAAATTAAACCCATTCAATCTGTCGTGATATGTGTGTGATCATTCCATTCTTTCCCAGAATTCCCGATTGGACCCGGAGGAGTACTTTACCAAACAGGAGAGGATCGGGAAGGGTTCCTTCGGAGAGGTCTACAAAGGCATCAACAATCGCACGAAGGAAGTGGTGGCCATCAAAATTATCGACTTGGAGGAGGCGGAAGATGAGATCGAGGACATTGGGCAGGAGATCAAGGCGACGAGCCAGTGTGACAGCCCGTTTGTTACCAAGTATTACGGGTCTTACCTGAAGGTGAGATGAGAACACAAACGCCACACAAACCAGCATGTGTAACACAAATACTACATAAACGTGGCGTTTATATTTTCTGTTTCCTCTCAGGGGACCAAGTTGTGGATTATCATGGAGTATTTAGGTGGAGGCTCTGCCCTGGATCTGGTGACTTTTTTTTTTTAATGTCCCGCTGTTGACTTGTATACAACACCAGACAGAATCTCGGCCTTACATTTACCGTTCTCTGTCCCTTCAGCTTCGTCCGGGGCCTCTGGAAGAGACATACATTGCTACTATCCTGAGGGAAATCCTAAAGGGCCTGGAGTATCTGCACTCTGAAAGGAAAATTCACAGAGATATCAAAGGTAATGCCAGGCACGGGCAATACCCACGTTCCCCAATAGGTGGCGTAGAAAGCATTTTAGCATTTATGCTTAGTTCACATGAACGCTCCATCTATCTGCTCCTGACCCGGCCCTCCTGTTTAATTTTAGGACAATTGTGGCTTGCGAGTCAAAAAGTTAGCCCACGCCTGGTCTACGCACTTGTTGTCTGGGCCATTTTTACTGCCGGAGCATGTTCTCCAGCGTCTGTGTGTAAATATTTATTATTTATTGTCTGCTGTGTTGATGTACAGTAAGTGCAGTCGGGTGTAAAACTCAATAGCCCTTATGGGACTATTAGAGTTCACGGAATCTCGGCACGTTGTGAAATAGGAACCGACTGCTCTTGACTCCCTATCTCCTTGTTTGTCTCTGCCGTCGTAGCTGCCAACGTGCTCTTGTCAGAGCAGGGCGATGTGAAGCTGGCCGATTTCGGAGTGGCAGGCCAGTTGACGGATACCCAGATTAAAAGGAACACATTTGTGGGAACACCATTCTGGATGGCTCCGGAGGTTATTAAACAGTCTGCGTACGACTTTAAGGTGAGTCAGCGCTGCTAGAAATAAAAACGTTTATGTTCTATCAAGTATGATGGAGCAAGACTTTTTGAAGAAATTTATAGGAGGTTATGACGAAACCACGGAACGCTTTTTCACACATCTCTCTTTGTCTCCCACTCAGGCTGACATCTGGTCGTTAGGCATCACTGCCATCGAGTTAGCTAAAGGAGAGCCACCTAACTCAGACCTGCACCCCATGAGGGTCCTCTTCCTCATCCCCAAAAACACTCCTCCCACCCTGGAGGGTCCTTACAGCAAACCTTTCAAAGAGTTCGTGGAGGCCTGTCTAAATAAAGATCCTCGTTTTGTAAGTAGAGCAGATCAGGTCCGTGTCGAACACGCGTGCGGCCCAGGCTGAACGTTTTGGGTGGTTTCTGTCCACAGAGGCCGACTGCCAAAGAACTTCTGAAGCACAAGTTCATCACACGTTACACCAAGAAGACGGCGTACCTGACCGAGCTGATTGACCGCTACAGACGCTGGAAGTCGGAGGGACACGGGGAGGAGTCCAGCTCGGACGACTCGGACATGTGAGTCTCAGTAGTGTACAGCATTGTTTCCCAAAGACTGGGTCGTGACCCTCAGGTGGGTCGCAAAGGTTTGTGACTTTTAAAAAATGAAAGAAAAAGGTTTTTTAGAATCACCTGGATAGAAATAAGAAATTAAAAATGCCAGTTTTTTTTTTCTAATGAAACATTCATTCATCTGTCCAGGGATGCTGATGGTGATGTGGACAATTGTCCCATGTGGACCTTCCCTACAGTCAGACCCAGCTCTATGAACAAGTTACAGAAGGGCTACACGCACACAGACTCGGAGGTGAGCCGCGTACAACACCCGCAAGTACCGAGCCGTAGCTTTCCGTCGTCTTCCTAACACGCTCTCTCCTCTCTACAGTCGGGCGATTCGGTGAAAAGACAGCCCAAGTCGCAGTGTCTCTCTGCGTTGGTCACGCCCATCTTCAGAGAGGTAGGTGTATTGGGGGGAAAACAGGTGCTCCATCAGCATCAAATATTGTTCTTCTTCATCCTTTCATCCTTTATTATTCACTGCAATCATAACCATGAGAGTCCAAGTTAACTGCCTACATCATCAGACTTGGTTCGCGTTTCCACTTCATTTACTTTTGTCCCACCGCAATTAGAAGGTGCTGTATGAACAGTGTGTTTTAGCAGGGTGGAGCGGCCAGAAAGAGGGGAACTCACGTCATCCAAGCCGTCAGTGTTTGCTTTGACCTGTGGTGCCTTTATTTATTCAAGTCAGACTGAGGTGACAGGTCTCTCAGAGACGTGTCGTCTCAGAGTGACTGAGTTTTGGTTCACGTATTTGAACCTCTGGAGTGTCCGCCTACTCCTGTAGGAGCAGTTGTGACGCCTAAGTAGATTTTTTTTTTGTATAATCTTATACAATCTGGGAATGTGTCATAAAATGAGCCGTCTTGATTTGGGATGATTTTATTTAGACATACTGTCGTACTGCGCTAGCCCCCTCTGTGGGTTACCTTTGGTAACGACCATGTTTCACCTGTTTGCACCCACAGTTGAAGGAAAAGCGGCGAGCGAGCGGCGGCGGCGTAGGAGCTATTGAGGAGTTAGAGAACGCCTTCAACCTGGCTGAGGAGTCCTGTCCAGGCATCTCTGACCGTCTGGTCACACACATGATGGAGAGAGTGTGCAGGTGATCCACTTCTGTCCAACCGCAATGAACAAAACGCTGGTCGGTTCTGTTCTGACTGACTCTTCCATGTGACCTTTTTCAGGTTTTCATTAAACGGTAACACCACCCCGTCTTCACGGTGAAACCCCAGCTGGATGTAACTAACCCTAACCCTAACCCAGTCCCCTCCACCCATCTTCTCAGATTAGGACCACAGAAGAACCTTCACCTCCCTCTCCACCTTCGACCCTCCCATGTCTTGTATCCCAGAAGAGATCTTTTAATTAGTTTTAATTAAATATTTTTACAGTTTTCTTTTTTTGTTTTTCTTTATGAGTGGAGAGTATTTAAGATGAAAAGCCATGACATGTAGAGCGTTGTGTACTATACCTGTTAGAATGATAAGTAAAAAAATATATTAAACTTTATGAACCTGTTGTCCTCAGTGTCTCTTTACAATATTATACCTGAACATGGACACTAAGTAGTCACAGGTGTGAGAAGAAAAGACCCATTACTGAAGAACCTAGGTTTAATAAAACATTTATTCTTATACATGTATCAAGAACAGTATTTGGTATTTTTTTTTAATATTGGATAGAAAGCACACAAAGTGGAATGTCAAGATCTGACTTTCTGACTGGTGAGGGAGATCTTAGCTCCTCTGCAGTCAGAGGAAACCACAGAGGGCTCATCAGTCGGGACACACCATATTTGTTTTAAATGTCATTTTAAAATAATGATTCTTCCTGGCACAGGACTTCATTTTTGGAGAGGAGATATGAAGCAAATACGTATAATTGGAAGGACGCAGTAAAGCACCTGACAGAGGTGTCACAGTAAAAAAAAAATAAAAAAAATCACAATGTCTAGATAATCCCTCACTGTGGTAGGTGTGAGGTAAATACAGTTAAAACCGTGTCCTTCATTGGTCAGTCTGTAAGGCCGTGTTCAGACGTTTGATGGCAGAAGGTCGTCATTTCTCTGTTCTTTTTCTTCCTGCAGTCTGAACAAGGCCTGAGAGGTCAAGGGTCACAGTATTTAGTTCATATCAAACTCTGAAGGATTTAAAAAAAAAAACAAACACCTTATTTCAAAAGTTGCTGGCACTGAACTAAGAATTGCACAACTGGTAATAATCACGGAGGAGCTGAGTTACATGCAAAAAAAAAAAAGAAAAAAAAAGTGATGTAACAAATAAAAGTAACAAAATGACTGAATGGGCTGGGAACCTGACAGAAAAAATATTGGCATTGAAAAAGGCTGTTTCTGTTAGCTTTCAACATAGTGGATTCTCCCAATGAAACCCTACAAAAAAACAAAAACACTGAAAAGTAACAGAACCTCCCAATGGGTTTGTTTATAATTATTACTTCATTTGGGTAAATGAGAACCTGTGTGTAAATATATAAACGTAACACTGTCTGAATATACTTTACTATACGTATAAAAAAAGAAAAGTCACCATTTCCCACATGGGACCAAATGAAAATAGTGGCGAGAAGTACGGTAGGAGTCGACTCTTTCTGGTCTGAGAACAGCAACGCTCAAGAATCTAGAGTTTAAAAAAACAAAAACAAATGTGAAATGACAAGTTAAGATAACAAATGATACGTAATGCACACAGAGTGTGGTTGAAATTCCAGCTCCTACCGCAAGCCTTTCACACGTCCCCGTCTCCTTCTCCCTGCTTCTGCATCTGGGCCTGCATCCTGGCGATCATCTCCTGCATTCGCCTCAACTGCGCAGATATGACGGAGGAACAGTTAAAATACAGATTGGGGACTTCCCATTTGTCCACTCAGGAGTTCCTGTTTCCTCTGTCTGATCCATCAGACTGGCTGCATCATCGTTAAAGTCTGTGCGCTCGTTAACACATAATGAATGAGAAACTGCTGCTCGTCAAACGTGGTTCTTAACGAGGACCGGTTGTGAACATAAATAATTTATGAGAGTGTTACGCTTTTGACGTGGAGACATAAAAATCACAGGCTGTTTGACTGCAGCCAGTGTGGCAAAAAAAAAAAAAAAAGCCTGTGTAGTTTTGATGTTTAAATGGCGTTTGTATGTAGTAAACGTTAGTCACATCTCACCTCAGCCTCCTTCTCCTGCAGGATTATGTCCTTGTCCATCTCCTCCGGCTCTGGTCCCTTTCTGTTTCAGAGACACAGTGTTACTTTACATGTTGACCGTGTGTTGGTAAATACAAAATGTTGGTCATTTAAGGTGGAAATGATCCAGATTTCAGAGACTGACGAGGTGTGATAGTTCACAAAGCATCGAGGTGAGTCAGCAGGGTGAGCCTTGGTGCTGTGTGTCGCTGTGCCAGTTTATTGAGTGACATTAGGCAAACATGACAAAAGCCAAAAAGTGAGAAAGTGGAAAAGTGGTCAGTGGGTTAGTGAAGCGTTCTGACTGAAGAAAAGTGGGCGTCTAAAACAAGTATCTACGAAGAGACAGAAAAGCAAGGAGTGCGAGAGATAGGGAACAGCGGTACCTCCCCCAAAATGTAAAAAAAACATAACAGTACCTCCAACAGGCCACTCCGGGGATTGAACAAATCAAGACCAGCCATCATTGGACAGATGGCGAGGAAACGTGAGACGACGGCAAAAAAAAAAAAACACTCCTTTTTCCTGGGTCGTCTTTGGAGGAAAGTCTACAAGAATCTTTTTGGTCTAAACTGAGGGGGTAAGTGATGATGATGATGACGTCACACTATGTTATATCAGAGAGAATATTTCTATACTACGTAGTTTAACTACACATGCTGTTTCACTACATAAGAGAGTAAGACCGTGACCCGCTAAAACCAAGTTTTACCCAAACACCACGGTCTGAGGGAATGGTCGACATGCAAACTAAGGAGTTACAGCTACTGAGCTACAGACCTGAGTCGCACTCATTAATATATGACTCATGAGAGAGAATTGAATGACCTGAGATGCTGTATTTGTGCTGAGCTTTTCAAAATCCATAATGTCTTTTTCAGAGTTTCTGCTGTTTGGGGCTGAGGGGGGAGGTGCAGAAAGCAAGCTGACAGACAAGTACGTACGCAGGAGACAGAGGCAGAACATAACCATGGGAGGACAACCTTCCACCCCGTTTGAGGCGGTCTGAGCGGAAGTTCTCGTAGTGCAGGTCCTGGGTCACTTCCTGTAGATCCTGCATGTGGGTTCTGTGAAAAAGAGACAAGAAATTGGGCAAAATAAAGATGACAATTTGAAACCGTTTTACCACCAATTCAACGCATGTGAAATGAGCTCACATCAGCATGGTCCTCAGTTTGAGGAAGTCGTTGTGCTCTGGGTTCTCCACCTCCACCACGCCCCAGGGATACAGACGACCTCGCACCTTCTTTCCTTTGGCTTCGATCTGCTGGTTGGAGCCGACCACCGCGAACGGAATGCTGGCCTGTAGAAGAGCGAATAAAGGTGGATTTTAATATACAACTGTATATTAATAAAACTGTAAATATCTGGTGACAGATGTGAATGTGAAGGGTTCACCTTCAGAATCCTAGTTTGTTCTTTGAAGTCCTCGTCCTCGTCCGACTCGGCATCAGGCAGGTGGTAAATCTTAATACCATGTTCATCGATCTCATCCAGAATCTTTAATAGACACAGAAAGATACATTTATGCACAGCAGGGGAAAGAACATCGTTCTATGATTGTATACGGAGCATTCCTTTTCCATGAGGCGTCAGAACTCACGTACTGTTGGAGCACATAACAGACACAGTCATTCTCAGTAAACCAAAATATCCCCTGACTCACCCTGCGCTTGAGCCTCTCCCTTTCCCTGAGGGTCAGAGTATCCGCCTTGGCGATGACGGGAACCACGTTAACCTTGTTGTGAATGGCCTTCATGAACTGGACGTCCAGGGGTTTTAGGCTGCTCAGACAGGAAACACAGAGTAAAGAGTCAGAGAAGGGCTCAAAGTTCATGTCACTGCTGATGGATTTGAGGAAAAAACAAAACAAAACATAAATATGACGTAGGTCTCACCCGTGTCCCAGGGGGGAAATGAAGTAGAAGCAGCAGTGAACTCTGTTGTCAACAATGTGTCTACGATTGAGTCCACTCTCATCATGGAGGTAGCGCTCAAACTGGTCATCGATGTAGCTGATAATGGTACTGAAGCTACAGGAGGTAGGAGAAAAAGGTTGCATTTAACACCCATGTATTATCGTATTATTGATTTAAAAAAAATCCTGATAAAAATAGTTTTTAGCATTTAATAAATCTCAAAATTTGTGGTGTCATGTTAATGCTGAGGCTCACTTTTGACTGGAATAATTCTTATATTAAAAGCTATATTATATAAAGTGACATTATATAAGCTAATACTGATATAAAATTGGAAAAGAAGCAAAAGAAGATATTTCGTAACAATAGCATCAAAGTTCCATACCAGTCCTGACTGTTGATGGCATCTCCGTATCCTGGCGTGTCAACCACAGTGAGACGCAGCTTTACTCCTCGCTCCTCAATCTCTACCGTTGAGGCTTCAATCTGAACTGTCCTTTCTATCTTTTCTGTTGGAAGAAAAAAAAAAGAGAATGAAGGAAAAAGTGAAAAAAATTGAAACAAAATAAAAAACAAACTAAGAGTCAAACCTGCTGCTCCGGGGATGACTCTCTCAGGGTAGAGGTCGGTGAGAAACAGGCTGTTGATCAGAGTAGATTTTCCAAGTCCAGATTCACCTTAACAAACAAACAAAAACAGATTATTACACAAAAGCCAGATTCAATAGTCTGAAGAAACTGCTCTTTTATTAATTGTTTTTTTTTTAATAAAAGCTGAGCCATTATCAGCCATTAAAATCCCCATGTGCCTTTCTCAGGAATGCTGCTACTGTGATTCCCACCACAGCTGTGCCAAATGATTTACACAAGCCTGCACTGTACATTCTCAACGGGCCTGGAAAATCGGAGCTGACACAGAAATTAAGCACAGTGACTGCAGAAAGACGACAGTTTTAAATAAAGAACCGGAAAAATGTCATAACTTATTATGACTTCTGTTTGCGGAAGACGTGCGTATCGATTCCATGTACAAGAAAACGTCAATTTTATTGGAAAGTCTGGCTCAGACTGAGGGTGGCAGCACTGCAGCCATGTCCAGTGTGTGAATCAGTCCTCGGAGACCCAGAGGCAACATTCCTCTCTGGGTTATTTTAATGCAAAAGGATGAGCAGTGTGAGTCTACCATCCCCCTCTTTATCAACAAGCAGAGATTCACACAGTCTTGGCACACTCCGACTTATCCAACACTGCTGCTGCTGCTGCTTCTCCCACTGAGGGACTGTCAAAATAAATATTTTTTATATATTTTTTTTTATTGCAAACAAGAGAAACATGAATATTGACTTGAGTAATGGAACTCTTTTTAAGAAAAAAAAAGCAAACAAGAGAAACATGAATATTGACTGAGTAATGGAACTCTTGTTAAAAAAAAATATCACCAATGACCCCATACTGTACAAACCAATTATCAAAACTAAAATCACAAATACTAAGAAAGCAACCACAATGCATTCACATAATAATTACAGTGAGCACTCACCTACTACCATCAACGTAAACTCAAATCCTTTCTTTACAGACTTGCGGTGAACCTGATTGGGCAGGTTGGCGAATCCAACGTACCCTGGAGTTTCAGGATTATTGAACTGGCCCTGGGATTTAAAAAAAACAAAAAAAATATGACACGTGATGTGGAAGGTTTGCTGACAGTTCAGTGACAAATCATTACAATTACAGGTGTTGCAGTAATCACAGAGGTGGAAGTGAAGTATTCAGACAGGTCTGCTGTTTGTTAAAAACCTCTTTCCCCTCATTCCAGTGTTTATGGCTTTTCATTACCAAGAATGACTGCACCTCAGGAACACTCTAAAGCAAGAGCAAGCTTCACTACAGAGTTGATATATTCCTTATTTTGTTTGTTCTGTTGTCTTAAGTCTGGCAATATCTACCCCCTCCCATTTCCCCCTTCCTTTCAAAAAAGGTCAGCGCTGATAAGAGCGATAAGCACTCCATGTGTTTCTGTGTCGCCTTAGGGCCATTTCAACTCACAGAAACATGTAGTAGTGAGTCATGTGGACGCAGGGCAGCACTAACAGCATCTGTTCAGGTAACAGGTTTGTTTTCCAACAACAAACAAAACTACAACTAGATTTCTGTAAAGGATAGGTAACATAGTCAGACGGTGTAATAAATAAGTAATTAGAAAAAAATTGTTAAAATGATCATCATTATTTTTTCTTGGACTCACCTTCATTTTCTCAGCCTGAGACATTTTTCTTGTATTTTAACCTGAAAGAAAACAGACAGAATCATGTAAAGCAGGCAAAAGAATGAGAAGGTAGGAGGTAGTAATGAATTAATTACTGATATTTCACGTAGACGATAATAACAAATGCAGCCATGAGTAGACGGGCTACAGTTTAGGTGAGTTTAGTAAAGACTGGACGTGCTCAGCTTGTATAGGAAGTGGCTGCATATGAAAGGAAGTGGAATTCAGGCTACTTCCTATTCTATTTGGGTTAATATTCTCATCTCAACAAAACAAAAGTTAAATCAACATGTCACAACTTTTGAATGTTTACAAGGAATTATTCAACCTATAATACTAACAACAGTATAATTAAGTAAACCCTTGTTCTCGTTCACGTGCAGCTTTACTGAAATGGAACCAAATAAGGTTACACGCTAATTTAGGCCTGACGTTCAGAGACAGGAAGTCTGCTTTGAAAGTGTTGTGTGTCAAACCAACCATCCATGTTCTCGCCACAGAAAGAGTAACTGACGCATTTCCCTGTTGCCTGCAGCTCTATAATCTGCATGTGAGAAATTAACACCAGTGTCTGCTGTTACTCCTGGTAATCACTGGTTTGGTTATTTGTATACAGTGTGACTCCATTCATACATGCTTGTATAAACATGTAATCAAGGTCTTGTTATTTGTCACAGAGGAGCAGTGGCTTTAGAGCATATTTATATTTAAGAAGCAGAAATCACTGAAAGTCACTCAGACAATAAGTTGAGCCTGAAAACAGTTGGTGAAATATTAGTTATTGAATAACTAATAAAAAAACAGCTTATTGCAGTACTTACTCATTAGACAATGCACTATAAGACCGCATTTTAAATCAAAAGTATTATAGGAACACACCCACAGACTGTGGTGTCTCAATATAGCGCCACACAAAGTAAAAGTACAATTTAATTTGCTGGTGAGCATTAATACACGTCGAAGTTTATCTAAATACACTTTAAACTGTTCAGGAACCAGATGAATGAAGGGGACGTGTCAAATTAACCAAGGCTAACGTTTTTACATGCACAAACACAAAGGTGAAAAATCAAACAGTCGGAAAAGGCTGCTGTCTCTAACAGAGACAACAACGATAACGTGTTGGCGCAAAAGCATCATTTAATTGTACCTCAACGTTTTAAAAAGAATAAAAAAAGGAGTCCCAACGGAAGCTAACTAGACTAACGAGCCTCGCTAGCAGCTCAGAAACTTGGCAGAAGCTCGGGGTCTCGATAACTAACTACAACCAACTCAATGAGCAAGACAGGATGTTCTTTTAAAAATAGCTAATGTTAGCAGTAAAGACAGCGACGGTTCTTTTCTTCTTGTTCTCTTTGGGCTGAAGTGATTAAGAAAAGATTCTTATTTTCTTTCCAAAAAACAGTGTCGTTACCTTGCAGTCCAGACAACCCAGAGAATAGACTGATAGCCGTTGTTAAACTAAAGAGATTCTCAGCGGACACCGAAATTCTTCAGATTCCACAGTCACAGCTTCCTTTAGCAGCAGAGAAGGACCACAATGCACCGGGCGAGAGGCAGAGCCCCGCTCATCCAAGAGCAAATACACACCTCAAATGTGAGGTTTGCCTTTAAAAAAGTAGTTTAAAGGAATTTTTCAACACATATTCAGCAACAGGATTTTTTTTTTCACACAAAAACGAAAAACACCAGGACAAGAATCACTACAAACTGCAGTCTTTAATGAATAATAAAGTACTAATTACTATTTTATTGATATTTAATATTAGGATTAATGCAGAATGTATAACAACATCATAAAAATATTTTAAAAGCCTTACTGCCTGTCGAACTTACAATTTAACCTTACACAAAATATTAACCTGCAATAATGGTACATGACCAAAAGAGGGCACCAAAACTCTTTGTGAAAGTCATATACCTTAAATGCAGTTTATTATATACAATAAAAGGTAAACGAATAAATTGTTACTGTACGAATAAATTACACGTCGTATATTAATTACTAATTAAATAATCATAATAAAAAAATAATATTTGATAAACAATTTATAATTCTATGTCGAATGACTTTTACCAGGCGGCTCGTTGGTCTAGGGGTATGATTCTCGCTTTGGGTGCGAGAGGTCCCGGGTTCAAATCCCGGACGAGCCCTCTTTTTCGTTTATCTTTTCTTTTTCCGTTTTCAAACCTATTAAACAGAATTAAACAGAATTTACATTGCAATGTACATGCTACTTTTTGTAGACCTTTTCCCCCCTTCATTTGTCATTGTGAAAATTTAATTTCTGAAATTTCTTGAACATATTGTTTATCAATTACTGAACCAACTCCATTCTAAATAACACATACTTAATAAGAAAACTTCTTCTTCAGGTATGCATTACCATTCTAAATAACACATACTTAATAAGGAAAGATATATTTTTAATAATTAAAAAAACATACAGAGTCTTCTTCAGGTATGCATTGCTGCTCCAGTGGTGTTGGAGGAATTAAAATCATGCCCATTTACAACCTTTTCTGTCTTCCATCCACAGGGACTGATCTTGGCTTTGCTGTTGTGACAGAATCTGTGCTTCCTCCTTCTCTCCTCCCGTCTGCCTCAGGACAGACGCTGCTTTGCTAAACATGAGAGGAGGAGATATGTCAGTAAATACCAATCCAGTTCCCTTTGCCGTTAGAGCAAGCATATCATCTCCCCAGGAGCTACACTATTCTCATTATTTCCATAAGCCTCTTACTGGCACCATGTGCTTTCGTTTGTGGAGGTTTTATGCTCTGAAGTGCTACTGTATATATATTTTTTAATGTCATCTCCGTATTTACTCGGCCTATGTGGTAAAGAATAGAAATAGGCTGAATTCCTAATGAATGCAGGCTTTTTGATCGTTTGCATTATATGATATGGGTGCTATAATTCAATTTCCCAGCAAGAAGCGTGTCGGAATTCAGTGGTTGTTACTTGTTTCATTTTCACAGTCAGACTTTAATTTATATTGGATATAAGAAAGAGAGACAGAGAGGGAGAGTGAGAGAGAGAGAGAGAGAGAGAGAGAGATGTTAATGTGAATATTGTCAGATACATAGTTATTTTGGTTTAGGGTGTCCACACTTTTTTAGTCCAACTTTCACCTCATTATATTCGTGGTCTTTTGTGCAGGACATCATATTGTTCGGAATAAAAAGATCAAGGAAAAGAGTCATTTGGAAATAGAACATCACTTGACAACTTTCTCTTTCAACTGGATTAACAGTCTCGAAGTATGTCACACCCTTAAATGTTTTTTTTTTGTTCAGAACTTTTAAATGGACGGGGGGATTCCAGATCCAGGCGGGCTGCTAACACTTTTAGCCGTGGCTCAGTCTCCAGCTCCTCCAGTCACCGTGCCCATCATCACCCATCTGTCATTTATTTTATTAGTGTAAGCAGCCTCCTGCTTAGCCGGCACCTTTTACTTTTCAAGCAGCACTTAATTTACTGCAGGACATTTTAAATCCCCGCCTCTGCCCCCACTGAGCTGCTGCCAAACGCCTGGTTGCAAATGTATCTCATTGACTGCTGACTCGGTCCTATTACATGCTGCCTGATAATGTGGTCCTCAGGTTTTATCCTCAGATGTTTGGAGGCAGAGTATTAATTTAGCCTGGATGATGCCCTCCCCCCCCCACTCCCCTCGCCCTATCTGCCACAGAACCAAAGCACATTCAGCCATCAATGTGTCAAGCTGAAAGCTATTAAAACTGCTTAACTTTTCCTAAGTACCACAAGAATAAGCATAAGATTTAGTGAAATCCCCCCCAGAGCAAGGATTTTCCTCACAGAAACGTTTCCTGTGTGACTCCTCTGAAGTGTCAGAAACTCTCGTCAGGCTTGAATGCGAGCTTCAAGCTGAAACGACAGAAATTCAAGCGGGAAGCAACAGAACTTTTTCACACAACCAGAGATAAACCTTTTCACCAAACACTGGTGCAATTCAAGTGTACTTGAACTCCAATTTAGTAAAGTTTGTTGAATCATACAACTGATTTTTCATTTGACCATAGCAGTGCATGACTATACAGTAGAGGCGTTTTGAAGCATGATCAGTTCATATGTGGACAGTTAGTTAGCTGTAGAAATGATTTTCAGTGATTCCGCTGATTCTTCTCGTCAGTTTGAAAAGCCAATAATTCTTATTCTCACGGTACATCATTTCATGTCTAGACTCTACTACTGCACTACTATTTATTTACTCCTGTTTACATTTGTCACTTCCAGACTGTTTATATTTATATTTACCATGAATTTATATTTAAGTCTTTCGTCTCGGTGTTCTTCAACAGTATTATATACGTTATGCAGATGCCATCTGCATAAAGAAGAAGTAATTCTAAATTCAGAGAGCGATTAGTGATTACACTCCGTCGCCGTCACGTCGTCTGTAATTATTCAGCCCATCCTGTAAACCAGTTCTACAGTATTATTTTTTTTCATTAGCATGCTGTTGCTTGTTTTCCTCCTAAGCACTCTGTTGGCCCGAGTGCCCGCTCCTCCTCTTTGTGTCATCATTCATTTCCTTTTCACCCCCAGGTCTTTCTTTACCTGTCAATTTCTTTCTACAGTGTGACTCCTTAATCCACGTGAGTGCATGGAGGACAGTTTTGACATAAGAAGAAAAGATAGACTCCTGAGGGAGAGGACCAGTATCTTTAGAACCCCGGGGGGATAACCGGATTAGAACAGACATTTTGTGCTGCTGGCAGTTTTACTTATTAGCCATTTCTCCCTCCCACATCACTGCAGTTAAAATGCTGTGCCCTTTCAGAAGTTACGACAGAACACTGGGCAGTAAACTGACAGAAAGAGATGTTTTCACCTCTGCTAAAGCCAGTCCGAAAAAACGGCTGTTAAGAAATGATGACAACAGAGTGTCTTCTAATGGACATAATCTGTCTTTTTCCTCTTCATTGTTGGGAAACTGTGGAAATAATCACCGTCACTGTGTGGTGGCGGCCTCCTGCATGTCAGGCCTGGACCTAGAGCACAGAAGATAACAGCAAAGCTCTGAGGAGACAGATCAACCGTCTGACCCCTGCCGTCACTCACGTTATCCCTCCAGCCCACCTTGAAAAACAAATCCCTGAAAAATATCTTATCGTCGCCGGCGAGGACGTAGCGCGCGCCGCCGGATCTCCCGTGTCCATTTATTTTTGCCTTTGAAGGAGCCCACGGAGCCTTTGATTGGCGGAGGTAAACAGAATAAAGGCCTCCTCCGTGCCTGATTTCCGACTTTATCTCAGCTACGAAAAAAAAAAACCCTGAACCCGAGGCTTCGACCAACCGTCGCAGGTCTGTCTGTGAAGAAACACATCATGGTTCTCTCATACGTTATGCAGATGCCATCTGCATAAAGAAGAAGTAATTCTAAATTCAGAGAGCGATTAGTGATTACACTCCGTCGCCGTCACGTCGTCTGTAATTATTCAGCCCATCCTGTAAACCAGTTCTACAGTATTATTTTTTTTCATTAGCATGCTGTTGCTTGTTTTCCTCCTAAGCACTCTGTTGGCCCGAGTGCCCGCTCCTCCTCTTTGTGTCATCATTCATTTCCTTTTCACCCCCAGGTCTTTCTTTACCTGTCAATTTCTTTCTACAGTGTGACTCCTTAATCCACGTGAGTGCATGGAGGACAGTTTTGACATAAGAAGAAAAGATAGACTCCTGAGGGAGAGGACCAGTATCTTTAGAACCCCGGGGGGATAACCGGATTAGAACAGACATTTTGTGCTGCTGGCAGTTTTACTTATTAGCCATTTCTCCCTCCCACATCACTGCAGTTAAAATGCTGTGCCCTTTCAGAAGTTACGACAGAACACTGGGCGGTAAACTGACAGAAAGAGATGTTTTCACCTCTGCTAAAGCCAGTCCGAAAAAACGGCTGTTAAGAAATGATGACAACAGAGTGTCTTCTAATGGACATAATCTGTCTTTTTCCTCTTCATTGTTGGGAAACTGTGGAAATAATCACCGTCACTGTGTGGTGGCGGCCTCCTGCATGTCAGGCCTGGACCTAGAGCACAGAAGATAACAGCAAAGCTCTGAGGAGACAGATCAACCGTCTGACCCCTGCCGTCACTCACGTTATCCCTCCAGCCCACCTTGAAAAACAAATCCCTGAAAAATATCTTATCGTCGCCGGCGAGGACGTAGCGCGCGCCGCCGGATCTCCCGTGTCCATTTATTTTTGCCTTTGAAGGAGCCCACGGAGCCTTTGATTGGCGGAGGTAAACAGAATAAAGGCCTCCTCCGTGCCTGATTTCCGACTTTATCTCAGCTACGAAAAAAAAAAACCCTGAACCCGAGGCTTCCCTCCGTGCCTGATTTCCGACTTTATCTGGGCTACGAAAAAAAACCCTGAACCCGAGGCTTTGACCAACCGTCGCAGGTCTGTCTGTGAAGAAACACATCATGGTTCTCTCATGGTCATAATCCTGTTTGGCCGGCCCTCAGAGCCCTCACTCACACAGGCCTGAAAGATGGCGGTGAACCCAGGCCAATGACATTATCTTCCTGAGGTTACGTTCCCAACAACAATCCCGTTACTTCCCATAAACACCTGCATTCTCCAACGTGTGTTTGTGTTATTTTTTTTTTACCCAAGAATCTCTCCATCCATCAATGTCATTTCAATAACGGAAGAGACGGGACCAAAGCCGAGAGTTGATCAGATAAGGTATAGTAATTATGAAAACTGTAACAATCAATGCAGTCGTCCAGGGCCGGAGAATTATGGCTGTGATTAATATTGATTTTTTTCTTTAGGCTGTGGCGATTAAGGTGGAGAACAGCTCCACTTCTGCCCATGTTAATATACAGTGGAACTGCACGGCATCTTAGGGAAGAATTTCAATGAGTCAGTGGTGAAGTTTGAAGAAAAACACAGTAGGAGATTAACGACGAACGGAGAAAACTTTTTTTTCTGGGGACCCATATTTTAAAAGTCACAAACCTTCACGACCCAAGTCAATAGAAAATATTCATAACTTCCTGGAAAACATCATGCAAGATGACCCAAAAAAAAAACTGTTGCAACCCACCTGAGGGTCACGACCCAGTCTTTGGGAAACAATGCCATAGAGATTCAAATTTTAAAAACCAACAAAAATAAACTTTTCACTGTCACAAAACATGACATTCAGGTGACTGTTTTTTGACTGAAGCTTGAGAGATTTGGTGATGAGCTCAGTTCCTTAGAACTGTTTTCATGTGGCACACCTACTCTCTCTCTCTCTCTCTCTCTCTCTCTCTGCCCATTGGTTGGCCCTGAGACTGGTGTCTTTTGTGATGGCTGGCTGTCATGCACTACATCATCCATAACAAGCCTCCAACTTGTTCCTCTGTGATGCCCTTGCCCTCACACGGATGCACCCTGTTCTGATGGAGTTGCCCCAGGTGCACTTTTTCAGCCACTTTTCCTATGATGGAGGCGAGCACCTTTTGGAGAACTGACTTACTTTAAAGTGGGATTTCTGATCAATGTGCCACCTCACTGACATGGCAAAGCCTTTGGATCACATCAAGAGACCCATGAACGCCTTCATGGTGTGGTCAAGAGGTCAGAGGAGACAGATGGCCCAGGAAAACCCCAAGATGCACAACTCTGAAATCAGCAAGAGACTGGGCGCGCAGTGGAAGCTGCTCTCAGACTCGGAGAAACGTCCCTACATCGACGAAGCCAAGAGGCTGCGCGCCCAGCACATGAAGGAGCATCCGGACTACAAGTACAGACCGAGGCGCAAAGCGAAGGGTCTCCTGAAGAGGGAGCGCTTCGTGTTCCCGCTGCCGCCCGGGTTTGGAGAAGCTGCGGACAACTTGAAGGGGTTTCCCGGGGATCCCTTCCTCTTTCCTGGAGACAAATCTCGGGCTCTGTTCGACCACAGCACCTCCTTCTCCTCTTCACATTTCTCTCTGTTAGAGTCACACCTGAGCACCGCGGCTGTCCAGCGGCTGGCAGACGTGACGCACACCCGGTTGCCCTACAGCCCGCACGCCTTTGGCTTCCACTCCGGCGGCGTCGGCGCAGTACCTTGTGGAGGGCAACCAATCCACACCCACCTGTCACCCACCTCCAGCCCCGGGTATTTGATGCCGTGCAGTTGTAGCGTCTGGTCTGCGGCCAGTTTGCAGCCCCAGGTGGCGTACATTCTGTTTCCGGGAGGAAAGAACCGGAGCGGCACGGATCCACACTCTTCACCCGGCTGCAGCAGCGCGCAAACTGGATAAGGAGGCAAAAACGCAGACGATATTAAATGTATCGATTTAACCGCAATAATTGTCTAACTTTCAATTTGCTATTGATTATAAAACTGTGGAAAACAATAACAAAAACAAACAAAAAAAATTGTAATTATTTAATGTAAACTATTTAATGTAAAAATACTGTACAATTTATTTAATGTAAACTATTTAATGTAAATACGAGGCTGTACAAAAATACCATGTTTAATTCTTAAAGTGATGGGAGATGGAATGAATGGATGTCCTGTGATATGTATATTTCCTGTCTTAGTTTGAGACCCAAATGACAGTCTGTAATACTGTATGTCCTTTAAAGTGAAAAAACAACAACAAATCTATGACGAAATGGTAAGTGATAAAGACGTTATAACATATAACTGTACATCCTGTTCACTACAGCCTGATTATTTGAATTGGAGTCTAAGTGTAAATAAATCTTTTTATTAGTTGCTGTGATTGTCTATTTTTTAATGTAATATATTTTTTATTTTTTTGGCTTAAGTTTTCAAGTGCCATTTATGAACATGGCTTTATTCACTAACCCCTAACCTTTTTTTTATTTAACATCTTGAACTCGCACGTGTTGGTGATGGATGATAATTATCTGACAATTAACTCAGTTATCCGAGTCCCATTTGAAATTATTTTCCTGATGTCGGACTTTAATGCATTAAACCAGGCGATTAAAGTGGACATTTTCGATTTTTTCAGCGTAAATAGTTTGTAATTTTTTCTCATTGGCTATTGTTAATTGTCAAGTGATTAAACACAGTAGTAAACACGACACCGTTCCATCTTATTTGAAACATGTTACACTAAATTAAATAGCGAAAATAATTGCAAAAAGAAAGTTGTATTAGAACTTTACCTATTATAAACAAGTATTTGTAGTTTTTTAGAATGGTTTGTAAAATAACGCGAGTACGTCAAATATAGCAGGTGTATTCAAATAATTTTAAAAATAATTAGCAATGTATAAGCTATCTGGAAATGCTAGAATTCTATTTCGTTTTGGATCAAATAATTGTTCCACGCTAATTTCGTTCATGTACATATATCTCAGAAGAATATTCCAGGTCAAAAAGAATTATCTATGTGAAAAAAGGAATTGATTTCACAAATATAATAGAAACATTTGAAAAATTACTTGTTGCAATCAGACGTTTCACTGAACGGCAATACCTCTTTTATCCACTAGACGTCAGTAAACCCTAGGCCATAGTTAGTAGTTGGTCTCTAGTGTGAAGCAATCGATTAAAGTTTGTTTTAAAGAAGAAAACACCACAAGTCCACAGGGAAACTTTTAAAGAAAAGTTTTATTTTTACATATTTAAACTTGCACCTCAAAAACAAGCACACAGAATAAATGGTTTCCTCTTCAAAGCAGAAGGTGCAGAAAAACACCAAAAACACATCAGACCTCACATACCAGCGCTGGTTTACTGTGAGGCCTTCACTAACGTGCGTCTCTGCAAAGCCAACTGCATTTGGAAAACAACTCCGATCTATTCTGTACTGCTGCTAATCTCATTTATCCAAAATATCACGTGTTATAAAAAATAATTTTAACTAAAAGGTGACAGAAAAGGAACAGAAATCAAAAATGACAAAGGAACACGATTTATATAGTCTATGAATCCACGGGGGTCAGAATTCCTTTTTTAGGGCGTCTAGTCTTTTTCGAAATGATCTGATAAATCTTTCTAACCTTGCAGATATTTTTCTCCCTCAGATTCAGGTGGATTGAATCTGTGAAATGAAGACGGTATAACTCTGTCCGTGGTTGACGAGCCGTAAGTAGGTCAGAAATGGTTGGAAGTGTGAGAACCATGAATAAAATTTGACATACGAAAGACACAAGAGGCACAAATCTCAGAGTCGGGGCAGATAAATATAAACCATCGCTAGTGAAACATGTTGTACTTTGTAATTTGGAAAAACAAACATTTTACTCAAGTAGAAAATCTGATTATTCTCTCATCTATATCCGATCTAATTTCTCACTAAGAAACTCCTCCACGCTGTCGGTGTTCCACTTGAGGATGCTGAGTTCTTCAGCGATGTTCCCGTTATCGTCCAAAAGCTTGAGGACAGGATCTGAGCCTCTGACGTACTGTGGTGTTGGGTAAGAGAAGGAGCAGACATGTTGGGGTTATGAAATAAGAAAGTGAAACTAGAAATTTGATTCGTATCAAAACAATTGACCGTCCATACCTTGATCTGCAGACCCTTGAACATCTTGGGCTTGTCGCTCCTGACAAAAGCTGTTGGAGACCAGAACACTCGTGAGACAAATGTCAGGTGACAAATCGGACGTCTCTATTTTAGACCCGCGTAATTAGTGCCAACTGCAGAAACCCCCCCCCAGGAGGGCAGTATTTACAGAGGGGGAAGACGACGACGAGGAGCAGACGAAGGCTACAGCTGAGGTAAACAAACAGCCATATGGCCCAGACAGCCCCCCCCTCCCCCCCGCCTTTCCACCTTTTCCACACTAAGACGAACTGCAGTAATTCCATCATCGGTGTAACCCGATGCTTTAATTAGCCAAATGCTGCTCTGGGCAGAGACGGGGAGGTCAACTCCTCCAGACGGGGGAGTAAAAAAAAAATCTTTAAAGCCTGTTTAAAACGCAGCTCAAAGCTGCTTCAGACCACCTACGAAGCCATAAGGATCACAGAAAACATCCAAAGACACTAGCTATGTATTAAAAGTGAAACAAAACAGAACAAAAATTTGATGACTCACCTTGGACTTGAGGGAACCTCCCCAATTTTCATCCACACACCTCCAGGATGGCTCCAGGGTAAAGCTGTGTGCAGACAAACATTAGACAAAGTGCATTAGGAAAAATCATTTCAGTCTTGTCCATGTCTTATTCTAGTATATACTTATCCAGTAATTATATATTTTTAAAAATGTGTATATTAATTAAGAAAATTGTTAACAGAATATAGAAAAACCTTGGCTTCACAGTTAGTTTTTCTACAGGTTTTTTTCCCCTGTTCTTTTGGTTAACACACACCTAATGTTATTGTCATTAACTCTGCATAACAACTCCCAAAAGGCCCTGAGCCCTTAGTAAGTACCCTAAGGAGGCGGAGGTGCTGCACCGGGAGGCTGCTCTGCAGAGGAGGACACATTTGAAAATTACTTCTTCCAAAATGCCCTCCGCACTCAGTGAATCTTCCTAATGGACTGGGCCGCAGACTTAGCCTATTCTCAGACACGGCACTATAGTCAATGGTCAGACTCTGAGGATTATTTTGGTGGATACCCATCTGACAGAGTTAACGCGTCAAAGATTATAGTCAATGGTCAGACTCTGAGGATTCTTTTGGTGGATCCCCCGAGTTAACACGTCAAAGACTTGGACTATTAAATTACACTTGTGTCTCTTGTTTTGTGCGAATGGTGCTCTGCCCACGATTTGGACTTTTACTCTCTTCTACCTTGCGTGCTTCCATCTGAGCCTCCTGCTGGCAGCAGTGTCGGCAGTCAGGCTGGAGCTTAGTGAGGCTGAACTCTCCGAGCAGGTCGCAGGAGCTGCACAGCAGGTTGCTAGAAAAGCCCAGGTCCCTGCACGCCTCTGAAGACAAGTCGGCCCCGAAGGCCGACAGCTGCGGAGAGATGAAAGGGACACATAAATATTGCTAGTGTTGTCAAGGAGAATGAGCTGAATTGGTATATTTGTTTCACATATGAGCATAAAACCAACGATTATCACGTAATATTTAATACCTTTCTTATATGTGTATATCTAGCAGATTATGTTTAGATGAGATTTGGTTATGATTAGCATATATTGATCATTTTCAAATGACTAAATCCAAGCCTTTCCAGCCTCTAACCAATCATTTGCAAAAGCAAAAGATAAAATTGTGTATTGCATTGTGCATAGTTGAGGAACCTTTATTCCATGTCGAGCCTAGAACAAACATAAAAACATTAACCAGTTTTTCAAGTTGCTAGTTAATTAGCCAGGACTAGAATCTAAACTGTTTATTTAAATCGCGCTTAGAAAACAGATTACTTTTTACAATAATATGCCAAGGTTTGGAGTGACTTGTGTTTTTTTTTCTATGAACCGCAGACAATAAATCTTAACAGCCGTTACTCCACAGAAGGTCTCATTAAAGTGAATGTAGACATAGGTGGGGCACCGAACAGGATCAATCTGTTTACCACAGGGTGTGCTGTTCCTGTTCGCAGTAGATCAAGTCAGTTTACAATAAAATGCAAAAAACTGCATGTTTCAAATTTAACTGACGAGATAAGTAAATGTATAGAGATAACTTTGAATTAACCATCATGGGAGAAATGAAGAAAATTAGATCCCGTTTACTTGAACTGCGGCAACGGGTTCATTTCAAACATTACATGTCAATATTTTAAGACAAAGACCTTTTGAGTACAATCCATTCAAAGGATTTTGGATAATAATTCGACGGAGAGTGATTTAAAAAGATGTCCCTTTACTTTTGAACGCATACGCGGATCCGCTTTATCATCGCGTCTCAGCCGCTAAGGTTGAGCCACGTCATTTTCAAACTCCGCACAGGATGCGGCTAAAACGAAATCTATAAGAAAACGTTCCAAAAATGACTATGTCGCTGCGCGTATATGTTGGCTATGAACCAGTTTATAACGCGGTAGGATTTACTTCAATTATTGACAAAGTTACCGTTTTTAAGAGGGATATGAGCCACAGGATATAAACCTCTCCAGACATTTTGGTCTCCGCTTTGTTAGCGAAAACCACCAGAGGGACCCATGTATCTTGAAAAAGGAATGCCCCGGTGCGCCTGAATATATTCTTGTTATTTTTCACGTCCTCGACCTTTTAGTATCCTTACTCTTAGAAAAAGGACAATTTCAAACCCAAATTAATGCGAATTGTCGAAATTGATATTTTAAATTCGTTTGTTTTATCCAGACATTTTTGTTTTAGCTTCGGCATATGCCGTGGTCGGACTGTGTTTTCTTCCTCGTCTCTGACGTTGTCAAAAATAGCTCGCCTAAAAGTGCGACGCCTACTGTTGGACTTGAGTTTAGATAGTCCAATCCGCGTTAAACAGTCAGGAAACGGTCAACGAATGAAAACGCCAGACAGCTTGTTGGACTGTTCCCACGTCCAATGGTTTGAGCGGTAGTAATAACAGTCCGTGGTGGCGAACACACTAGAAGCTGGGACAGTGGCAGGCAGCACTTAATGGAGTGGACGGAGGCGACATAGGCTGGTGCCACAGCTCCCACACCTCGGGGGACACACGTAATCGATCCCATGAGATATCCACCGGACATTACGACGCTCCAGTACTCGGGATTTACTGGATAAAACCACCAATAATAAGAATGAACACTTCGCCTTAGGTTTGAATGAGAGCACCGGGATATTTATACACATATATCCACACACACTGAAGAGGAGAAAGGGCCATGCACTGACACCCAGTCGCTTTGTAGTCAACGTCGTCGCTGTGGATGTGCATTGGTCGGTCCGCGGGTGCGTGCGTGTGCTTCCAGTTGCTCCTCATCTGAGCATGGACTGACCAAATCCCTATCTGGATGATTTGATGGGGCTACTCAGAGTCATGATGCCGCCCAAGTTGCAGCTTCTGGCGCTGCTGGCGTTCGCAGTGGCCATGTTCTTTCTGGAGAATCAGATCCAGAAGCTGGAAGAGTCTCGGGGAAAGCTGGGTAAGTCACAGCTCGGTTTGCCACCGGTGTCAGTGAGCGAGTGTCTCGCCTTAGGACAGATCTGTTCTCTGCAGCTCCTTTGTTTGACACCCCGGTCAATAGTCAGCAGTATGCAGCGAGATAGAGAGCAGCTCTTTATGCAGTACACATGCCTGAGCGGCAGACACTGGTACACGATCATAACAACGTTAAAGGCTTGAACTTGTGCATGACTCAAACTTTAATACCCGAGGATCAGCAAATCTGCCACTGCACGGAGGGAGGATTGGGACCTATTGCTGTCTTTAGTCTGGTTTTATCCTTAGTTCGTCACATATTATCTGTTATTTGGAGAAGGCACACTATATTTGGCCCCACATTCTTTTTTGAAAAGAACTGTCTAGTAGCCCCAGAGCCCAAGGGTTATGAAACATTTTCATGTTTTGTCCACAACCCCAACATAATTTCCTAAGGACCAGGCACTTGTTATTATCCCATGCGTGATAACTGGAGATTTCATGCATTTAGACCCCTCATTTAAATCCGTTTGGAATCATTTCACAGCAGTCAATTGGTTGCATCGTTATAGCCACCCTTGCATGCAAATACTGCTAATTTAAAAATCATTAACATACATGAATATTGATCTGGGTCAGGGTTGGAGTTCTTGAGTCAGATAGTCCTTGGAGAATATTGTAGTGTTTAAAGACCAATGAAGAGCAGCCCTTTTTTTCCCTATGATTAATTTTTAAAAAAATATTCTGGATGCAGATGGACACCACGCTGCTGCTGCTGCAGGTCCAGTACTGCTCCGTTGCCAAATGTCTTTTACCCCGATTGAATCATGGGCAGTTATATTCAAATTTTAATAGCAAACTGCCTTCAGGGCTCAATCCCAGGAAAGGATCTGGGACAGTGCGGGATTATCTTCCCTCTGCTCTGAGGATTTTTCTTTTTTTCATGGGAGCAGCAGAGCGATGCAGGAGGTGGTGTGTGTGTGTGTGTGTGTGTGTGTGTGTGGACCCCTGAAGTGCACAGCCTGCACCCCCGGGGGTTCACACACCACTTCCTGCACAATTTCACGGGGATAGCTCGCCAGAAGAGCGTAATCTGATAGACTCTCAGAGAAGTGACTGGAACGTGTTTAAACAGGAAACGCACAGGTGTGATTCACCAGAGTGACTGCGGTGGATTCATGGCCCTGATGTGGCGCACGCTGACCTGAACAAGTCTGGTCTACCGAGGCACCGACCGGCTGTGGGGTCTTATCTGTGAAACACCAAATGTCAAGACATCTGCCTGTAAATATTCTGTTGTTAGAACTTTAATAATAATTATTTCATAAAATAACTGGGGGGGGGGGACTGTACAGTTGGGAACAGCTGCGGAATCTGTAGCTGTATGTGAAAACCTTGGAGTGGGGGGTGTGATGTCATCGGATGGGTTTTTCTCATAAGTCGTACATATAACATTGTCATAAATAGATTTTTTAAAAATGTATAATTACATATACCATGTACCAATACTTACTTTTAATTAATTTGCAATTTGTGTTTTTCCAATAGCAAAACATCTTGTTATATTAATCCATCATAACGCTAGTTATTACATGATCAATGTGTGGGACTAATTAAAAATATCAGTCATTTATTACAAGTATGTGATTCAGATATGTTTTGGACTAAAGATTGATTCAAAAAAGGGATTGTCAATAATCTGAATGAGTCCCTTAAACTAAACCGTTTATTGATCGGTGATCAATAGGCGTTTCGTTCTGTGGTATGTCTTTATTGTTGAGTAACCGTTGCCTAAAGAGCGTTGATGTTGGTTGCTCAGGTTTCCAGAAGAAGCGTCACGTCAGCTTTTTTGGTCGTAACCTGCCTGTGCTAATTTCATAGGAAGTTCTAATATTCTATTTTTACCGTTTGGAGCAACAGCAGAGTGACAGATACGGAGGAAGTGACCTGACACACCGTCAAAGCAGTCGGTAAAACACCTCTTTGAGCCCTTTGAGTTTTCTGCTGTTGAAACAGTCGGTAGCTCTGGGTGTTCAGATGACTATATCGGCCTGTGACATGCTTTATTGCTGCTTTAGACGGCTGTACTTTACACACACAGCCGGAGCCTGAGAGGCCTTTCCCCCGACTGCCCACCACTGCCATGGGATTCTGTTGACTCGGCATAAAAGTGGCCTGATTGATGACTGTCCTGAGCAGACGTCCGCACACTGGAGCTCTGAACTATGTGCTGCCTGGCCAAATAGTTTTGAATGAAGGTTGCGGAGCGGGCCGCTGACAGGCAGCCGTCAGCCCGGTCATGTGACCAGGTGTGCGTGGGGCAAGGTTCGTCTTTGCTCAACTGTCACAACACGGGCAAAGTGTGGCCCAGGCCCACGGTCGTGCTGAGAAATTCTGTTGTGTTAATGTCAGATGAAGATGTTAAAATTACACAACACGTGTTGATCTGGACCAGACATGGGCAAACTATGGTCCGGGGGCCTGACGTGGCCCGTTTTAATCCAGCCCATCAAACTTTTCCAAATTATGTTGCTAATTTCTATTTTTATTTTATTTGCAATGACCACATTTCCCCAGTAGATGGCATCAAAAAGGCTAAAAGATTTTAGCATTTTAGCCTTTATTGACTGTCTTTTACATGTCCTGATGTCCTGCTCCTGACCCGGGCCCCTCCGTCAAATTTTAGGACCCATTACCAAACCTTTCCCCACGCCTGATCTTTTTTTTCCTCCTAAAGCTGAAAGATTAAACTAGTTAAGTCGTCAGGTGACACAGAAGAAGGTCGTGACCTTCTTATTTTTAGTCTAACTCTACAAAGACTGAATTCTGTAACAGAAAAAAAACTGCTTTGTTGAAATTTAAATTCTGTTTCAGTCATCACTCAGTCTTGTATAAAAAAACAAACGTCTTTCAGATTTTATGTATCCGCCCGTTCCTGCGTGTTAAGGCCCATAAACTGAAGGAGTCGAAAGGAAACACGTTTTCAGAATTTCATGTTGTGCCCTTGCGGTGATCAATGCTCGGTCCATAACAAACACATAAATATGCCACCGGTGGAGCCGCGGCGTTTTATGTTCCTCCCTCCACCGCGTTACAGCTTTTACTGTTTCCTGTCGTTTTTTTTTTTGGCTCAAACAGCATCATTACACTCTGAAGTAAATTGTTATGTATGGAGCACCTTTCCTTACAGACTTCTTTTTATAGACACAGCCTTGTCTTATCTTGGCTTCTCTGGGTAAAAATATTCATACAATTAATGGGAAAATCCAGGGTTTTTTTAGGGTAAAGAATTTTCTGTTTATCAATGTGAATCATTATGTGACAGGTTTATTCTTGGCAAAAGTATAAGTGTGGTCAATTAGGGCCGTGGAAATGGAAACTGACGACCCGTGTTGTAACAGGAGAAAACAACCTCTTCACCTTGCCTTCCTTCGGCCCGTGCATGAGCCGCATGTCAACCGGCTGAGGAGAGATTCACTGACTTTTTGTTATTCCCTCTTCGGCCTCGACTCCCTTTATCTGCTGCTCATTATTTAGGCCGATTAAAGGAATTCAATTTCCATCTGTTGCGTCGTGATATTCCGGACACAGCCGGGCCCGTGGTGAACAGTAAACACCGGGAGGCGGTAGGAGAAGTCGGGGGAATGCATACATTTGTTGGGTTTTTTTACCCAGCACAGGCACGGCTTTCCCAGAATTAATTTGTTGCTACAACCTATTGCTCCCCAGACCTGCATTTTAATTTGATTTTGATTGTTATGCCAAGCACTTTTAGCCCGGAGTCTGTCTCTCAAACTGCCGGTGAGGGCGGCTAGAGTCTGGTCAGGGATTTTCTTTTTCCTGAAAGGGAAAACAGTCTGGCATCAACAGTTTGTCCTGAGACGGAGCGGCGGATGTGTTTGGATTTTTTTTTATTGATGATCTGGTGTGTAACTGCCCCCCCCTGATTGCTCCCACACATTTGTCAGCGGTGTCACAGGACTTCAGTCTGCTACCCAGGGCTGGCTGCTGCACAAAGCACTGACTTCCATTTCAGGCTAATTGGTGACACGTCGGAGTCACTCGATGCGAGCGAGCCAGCCTGCTGTCGTAAACTCTCCACCTCCGGCGTTTCTCTTTCTTCCTCTTGTGTCTTCACTTCTTTCATGTCACAAACTGAATCAGATTTTTTAGCTTTTTTTTCTTAAAACATACAAAAGGCCGCATGAGTCATTCGCTCTCACTCTGCACGTTGGCATCTGTTACTGCGAGTAGCGGGGTAGTGTCTGCCTCCTGCAACAGCCCGCTCAGTCACTCTCCGATTCGTGCCATTTGAGTGGCTAATGGAGGGGAGCTCGCCGCCGAGATAGGTGTAGGCGTTAGGGATGGATTTTTTCGCAGGTCGGGGCTGGAAGGCAAGGTGCTAACGGCGTGTTTGTTAGAGGCAGGCTTTGATTCGGGGTTTGGGGATTTCTAGGATTTATAGCCCCCCCTGCAGGGCGCACACTTTGTCTGACAGGAGGAACACGTCGCTGCAAAGTGGCGCACAGGGCCGCAACCGGAGACGGCGATGTATATACGCCGCTGTCGCCGGATGACAGACAGACTAATCAGGGTGTTTACGGAGGGGTTTGACTGTAATCGAACAGGAGGCAGCTCTAGATGGATGAACACCCTGCTCCGATATCGTCTGTCCCCCCCGCCCTCTCCCCCAGCTGGCCTCCTACCAGTAATACCAACCCCTACTTCCTCCTCTTCATCATTTCCTGCGTGTCTTCCTACACATTCTGTGAACATGTCAATCCGAGTTGTGATTCCTTCTTAGAGGTGGGAGGCAGAGATGTACGTTAGAGAGGCTGCCAGGAACAGGAACAGTGACAAGTACCAGAAGTCAGTCCTGGTCTGGATTCAAGTCCTCTAGATCTCAGCACTGCCTTAAATCTCAGGGCTGTCACTTCACCCATGTTGTTTTATATTTTGGCCTCCGGTGGTCATGGTGAAAGCCCCCCCGCCCACCCTGACCAC